ATTTTTTTTCTGGGTGTGTGTGTGTGTGTGTGTGTGTGTGTGTGAGAGATAGAGAGAGAGAGAGAGAGAGAGAGAGAGAGAGAGATGTATGTATATATCAGGGGCTGGAGGATGACTCCGTGGTTAAGAGCCTTTGCTTCTCTTGGACTTGGGTTTTAATTCCCAACACCCACATGGGGGCTCACAGTGCCTCTTCTGGCCTCCACTTGCATTGCATGCACATAGTGCACATACACAGATGCAGACAAAACACTCAGACACACACAACTGAGTTTTGAGGAATTAAGGTCAAATAGACAAACCAAGGGGGCAAACCCCTGACTGAAGAAGAACGAACATAGTATCTGCTGCAGAAAGAGTTGGGGAAAAATAAGACTAAGGAGAGAGACAGCATCTGTATCTTAAAGGGTCTTTCAGAGTTGAGCTAAAGGATTTAGATTGGAGGATGGAACTGGAAACGTGAGTGGGTGACATTGTCACAAGTAGGAGCTAAGAGGAAAAGTCCCTAAGGAGGGATGGTGATGAGTGAAGCCTCTGACTGAGAGGCCAGGGGAGGCACTGAAGCCTCCTGAAGGACTAGGAGAAGGAGGAAGGGTCAAGATGAGAAAATGAACATTCAGAATTTTTAGAAGCCAGGTACAGTGTCCCATGCCTTTAATTTCAGCACTTGGGAGGCAGAAGCAGGCAGATCTTTGTGAGATAGAGGCCAATCCGGTCTATATAGCTTGTTCGAGGCCAGCTGGGGCAACAGGAACCCCCCCCCGCAACACACATATATATCCCTAAATATTTTTAGCTATGATTGTTAGGACGGTAGTAGGTAAGAGAATGTCATCAGGGTAAATGGAGTCTGTTCCTGCTTTGGAAAGAGGCTGAGGGTCAGCTGAGAGACATGGAATACCACTCTGGCTGTACCAGAAGTGAGGCACCACGGGACAGCCGTGTGGTGGTAACTAGCCAAGTGTGGATGCAGTTTCCATGGAACCTGAAGAATCTAAAAAATCCTCCAACTTTGGAAGGTTTTATCTACATTTTATTTCTATTTTATGATAGTGCAAAAGTGATAGACATTCAGTAGAACTGATGCTTAGAATTATAAATTTTCATCTTTTCCTGGGCTAACAATTCACAATGTAATAGTTTCTTGTGATGCTGAGATAGGCACCAACCCACACCTCCCAGGCAGGATGGAATCATGAGGACCAGACAGCAGTAGCTAAATAGGTGGTAAGTTGTGATCTCAGGAGGCAAAGTGTCTTAAATGCAGATTTGACTTAAAACTTTTTAAATGTGTGATGATATGTTGGGACATGATCCTGTCATAACTTGGTGTGCATCTGTAGATTATGTGAAGACTTGTGTGGTTGATGTAACCCTCTGTTACCTAGATATTGCTCTGGATTCCCCTTGGCTCCTAGATCCTTGTGATCTCTGTTGAAAGAATTCAGATGTGTGTAGCATGTAACATAGAAATTACAGTTTACCACAGATAAAGTGGGACATCTTCAAGAGGTGAAAGTCGGCAATAGCCAAAGGGCACATTGGGAAGGACAATACTTCACAGGGTGAGAGAGAGGCTATCCCGCTAGCCTACATTTTTAGATCTGCTTTGTGTGTTTCTTAAAGTCTTTAGAATGGATGACTTTGTGGAGAGATTCTCATGTCCAGGTGATTAGCAGACCCATTTGGATTAACTTTTAAGGAAATGGGCACTGGTGTTTCTTTGTTCTTTATCAGAGTGCCTCTGGCTAGATAGGACTCTTCTAAACTTTGGGCCAGTTTTGAATATCCTGTCTTCACTCTGGGCCAGAGGTACACTCAAATCCCATTCTTTTGATCATTAATCAAAGTCCTGAAGTTTCAGTTTCTCATTTTACAAGCTACTGATTATGGGACGGGGGAGGGATTCATCCTCAATGACCTTCAAGCCTACTCTGCTCATATGTGACTAGTCATCTAGCATCTCTAGAATTCTTATGTTGGAACTTAAGCTCTAGGACGGTGGTATTATGAGGTGAGGCTTTCAGAAGGTGATTAAGGCACAAGGGCTTCCAGACTCCAGAGAAGTCCCTGGTCTCTCTCTTCTGTCACAGAGCACAGTGTTTTCCTTTTGGTCCCTCCACTGTGACAGAGTGCAGCAAGCAAAGGTCATCCAGGAAGCAAACGCAGCCTCACCAGCTGATGCCCAGTCTGTTGGACCTTGGACTTCTCAGCTTCCCAAACTGTAGGAAAAGACTTCCTATTAAATTTGCCTGGTCTGAAGTATTTTGTTATAGCAACAAGAAGAAATAAAGGCAGAAATGAAATTCTGAAATGATGACAATTAGGTGTGATGGAGAACATTTATTAAGGAAAATGTCATAGAATTATAAAATTTAAAGAGTTTAAAAATCATATGAAATGCCAGGTGTGATGACTTACGTCTTTAATCCCAGCACTCAGGAAGCAGAGATAGGCAGATCCCCCTGGTCTACATAGACAGTTCCAGACCAGCTGGGGCTACAAAAAAATTATATGAAACCCCCCCAAATGAACAAAGTCTGTTTTTGTTGTCTTCCTCCTCCTCCTCTTCCTCCTCCTTCCCCTTCTCCTCCTTCTCTTCCTCCTCCTTCTCTTCCTCCTCCTCTTCCTCCTCCTCCTTCTCCTCCTTCTCCTCTTCCTCCTCCTCCTCCTTCTCCTCCTTCTCCTCTTCCCCCTCCTCTTCCTCCTCCTTCTCTTCCTCTTTCTCTTCCTCCTCCTCTTCCTCTTCCTCCTCCTCTTCCTCTTCCTCCTTTTCTTCCTCATCCTCCCCCTCTTCCTCTTCCTCCTCCTCTTCCTCCTCCTCTTCCTCCTCCTCTTCCTCCTCCTCCTCCTCTTCCTCCTCCTCCTCTTTCTCCTCCTCCTTTCTTGCCAGAGTCCTCAAACTCTCGCTTTCTTTTTCACCTGTTGCATCCCACCACCAGCCCCACCATGTTAAACTCATGGACACCAATTCCAAGATCACCATCAAAGACTCGGAGAAGAAGGAAGTTGTGGAAGAGACAGAGAATGGAAGAGATGCACCTGGCAAGGAGAATGAGAATGAGTAAGTGCGGAGCAGGAGACTGACAGTTAAGTAATGAAGAGGAGGATGAAGGTGGGGAGGAAGAGGAGGAGGAGGAAGGTGGGGAGGAAGAGGAGGAGAAAGGTGATGTCAAGGAAGAGGATGGAGAGGAAGATGAGGAGACCGAGACAGCCACAGAGTGGTGGTTTAGATGACATGTCCCCCATAAGCTCCAAGTATTTGGACTTTTTTTTTTTTTTTTGTCTTTTTGAGACAGGGTCTCCCTGTAGCCCCAGCTCTGCTGGAACTCACTATGTAGACCAGGCTGGCCTCGAACTCACAAAGATCCACCTGCCTCTGCCTGTATTTGGATATTTTTATCCCCAGTTGGTGGCGCTGTTTTAGGAGGCTTTAGAAGGTGTGGCCTTGCAGGGCTGGAGAGATGGCTCAGCAGTTAAGAGCCCTGACTTCTGTTGCAGAGAACCCAGTTTGATTCCAAGCACCCACATGGCAGCTAACAACCATCCATAATTCCAGTTCCAGGGAATTTGACACCTTCTTCTGACCTCCAAGGGCACTGCATGCCACAGGTACACTTACATACATGCAGGCAGCCCACTCATAAACATAAAATAAAAAAATAATAAATTATGTTTCAGAAGGTGTGGTCTTGCTTAAGGAAGCATGTCACAGGTGGTGGGCTTTGAGAGTTCTTAAGCCTTGCTAGATTTGCTGTCATTCTCTGCTTCCTGTGCTGCTCGAAGATGTGATGACTTGGCTTTCTGCTCCAGCCACTTTCTGCGGACATGCTTCCCGGACCCGATGGACTCTAATCCCTCTGGAACCATAAGCCAAATAAACTCTTTCTTCTATAAGTTGCCTTGGTCATGGTGTTTTATCATAGCAGCAGAAAAGTAACTAATACAGACCAGCAAGGAAGAAGAAGAAGAAGAAAGAAGGGAAGGGAAGGGAAGAGGGAGGAGGGAGGGGAGGAGGGAGGAGGAGGAGGAGGAGGAGGAAGCAGCGGAGGGGGAGGGGGAGAGGGAGGAGGAGGAGGAGGAAGATGATCATGTTGATACCAAGAATCAGAAACATGAGGGCGACCAGCCAGCAAAAAGAAAAAACCGAATTCAAAAAGGCCACCGAGACCTATTCCCCCTCTGCGGCCCATCTCAGAATCTATAGTCACCTTCCAGGAGAGGGGCAGGCCAGCCCACCCATGGCAGGCAGTGCAGCCTGCCCAAAACGTGCTGTTCAACACCCCACCAAAACCACAATGTGAATTGGCAACAGGCAGGAAAAAAGAACCCAAACTTCCAGCACCCGAGGGAAAATTAATTAGTATTTTTATTTATATTTCATATTTTTGTACATGTTATTAGGGCTCAGCCAATTTTCAAAGACAGCAGGGACCAAACCAGGCTTGGGAGTTCTCTCTCCCACTTCTGACTTTGTTTGTGCAGTGAGCATGTTCATTATCTTCTCAAAAGAGAAAATAAAAAAACCTTGTAAATTAAAAAGAAAACAAAAAGCAAAAACAACAACAATCATATTCCAAGCATTCCAGTAAATTTTGTGTGCATGTGTGTACCTGGCTGTGCTGTAAGTAGTTGCTTTGGAGCTGGTCATGG